AGTATGGAGACTGCTGCTACGACGCGGAAAAGGACGTCGATCTCGGACCTGCATCTGAGGCTGGGAGGCACCGCTGTGTCTCCCTTGTGAAGGACGAGGGCCAACACATGCGAGCGTCCTGTCCCTCTGGCTGGGTCGACGAGGAGGTCGCGGCGCTGTGTCGGGCAGCTTCACCGGAACAAATGTCGTTCCGAGAAGACCCGCTGCTTCACGTACCGGTCACCAGTAGAACGAGCAACGTGACGTACGCGAACTACCAGTGCGCAGTATGCCATAACGATACGCATGATGTGGTCTTTTGGAACGTCGACTTGAAGTGTCCCTCACTTACAGGCCCTAGCGAGGTTGAGGTGAATGCGACGACAGTGTTTCGAGAGGGCCAGTGGGGAGTGGTCGTGAATGGCAGTGAGCAAGAAGTGCACAAATGTAATCTGACACTCTCCCTCGGAAACATTTGGAAATTCCCCGGGAGATCGTGCAGACTTGTTGTGGACAAGTGCATGGAAAACTGGCACGATGAGGCGATAGAAAAACTTTGCCATTCATACACATCTCACGTAAGGATAAATGGGGAAGTTTACAAGAATAGCTTTTGTGCTACTTGCAACAATGCGTCCAGTATATATCCAATATGTAACCCCCGCTATTACTATTATGATGAGGCTGACGAAGACGTATCCTTTGATTATGGTGTGAGATTCGGCGTCCCTTCTGCGCCGCCTCAGCCTTTTACTATGCTGATAGACTTCACGTGCAGAAACGGCAATAATAAGGTAGGAGAAAGCTGTGTCTATGATCCGTTCTCCAACAAGTACAGGGATCTAGGTGAAATTAAGGACCTGATTCACCCAGACACACCAGGCAATGCCACTGCCCCTCCTCTTAGCGACGGAACCTGTAGAAACGAGACGATTTTCAAGGACGACTATATTATGGTCAACGACACTGTGGTTATAAAAGTGTCTAATCGCACTTACTATCCTGGGGAGTACGAGGTTGTAGAAGAAGGAGTTTTGGTGTGCTCCTTCGCGTCCGACAAATACACGGCCGCCATGGGGTGGGTGACGCTGGCTGGTCTGAGCGCGTCCTCCCTGTGCCTCGTGTTGCACTTGGTGGCCTTCGCCCTCGTGCCTCACCTCAGGAACCTTCACGGCAGGAACGTGGCATCTCTTTCTGTGTCGCTCCTCGGGGCCTACGTCTCGTTCATACTCAGCGTTTTCGCCGAGACATCGACGACGGAATGCTACGTGTTCGCGGTTCTCATTTACTACTTGTTTCTCACGTCGTTCTCGTGGATGAACGTCTTGGGCTTCGATGTGTTTTACACGTTCAGGCGAAGCAGAGTGAGGTCCGGAGAACAGTGGAAGAGGTTCTTAGTGTATTCTGCGTACGGGTGGGTGCTTCCCGCGTGCGCCGTCGCTGCGGTGGTAGCGGTGGACCAGACGAGGCCCCCCGGGTTCCCCCCGGAATTCCTTCCGAGTCTTGGGCAGCACCTGTGTTGGTTCGGGCGACGCAAGGCCTTGCTGGCGTTCTTCGGCGCCCCCCTGATCGCCAGCATCATCATGAACGTGGCTTTGTTCGTCGCTACGACAGCCAGCATCACCAAGACGAGGCAGTCAGAGATGCGGAAGACGTCCCCGAGTGAGCCGAAGAAGGAGTTCCTCCTATACCTCCGACTGGCCGTCCTGATGGGGATCACGTGGATCACTGCGGTGGTGGCCTCGTACCTGGAGGAGGAAGTGCTGTGGTACGTGTTCATCCTGTTGAACACTCTGCAGGGCCTATTCATCTTCCTGGCCTTCACCTGCAGGACCAAGGTGTGGGAAGCCATCGCGCAGCCTTGCCAAGCGTCGTCCTCCGTCAGCTGCTGCAGAAGGCAAGAGTCAGTACCTCCGGCGAGTGATCAGAGCGGAATGTTCTCCAGCTCTACCTCGACGAACATGACTCCCGCCGATTCAGACATGTCCATTCACTCCTCAAACACAGTGCTAACGCTCAAGTTTTCGACGATAAGTGCAGTTTAAAACCAAAATGTTTTTATGTAAATAATCAGTGCACATATGTATATAGGTAGATTATAATGTTCAGACTGAATTTTTGTTATATATAATATATATATATATATATTGTGTGTGTGTATAATATATATACATATATATATGTATTTATATGTATATATATTGTGTGTGTATGTGTGCATCTATATATGCACATATCTGTATGTATTTATTTTCTACAGGGTAGTTACCAAATATGCTATGAATTAAAGTTTATTTGCTCACACTTAAGAAAATTTCATTCAGGTACCAAAAACTGACATGTAATCCTCAGGAAAAAGGGAAACTTCAATGCCATAAAGAAAGTAATCGACATGACTGACAATATCTGAAGGGAACGTGAAACAGTGGAACAAAATAAGAAATATTAGATTTTGTGATGCATGCTGCGATTTTTTCTTTCTTTCATTTCCCCCCTTTAGCTCACTTAACTGTTACTAAAT